CTTAATTACACACTTTCCGAGTAACAGAATACTCTGTGCGTGTTCAACTTCACAGTTTTGCAAATCAGCTAACACCCAGTTCTGAATGCCGTGATAAGGCATTTAGTAAACAGCCAGGAGCAGCTTTTCAAAGGAAGAATAGTTGTTGCCAGGTAGAAGACAGACAGGATGGCTTTACACCAAAACTCTTTGCATCTGTCTTGTGATTCTCTTACTGGGGAATGCCAGGAGCAGCCCATCTGCCATGGGCACTTCAAGAATAACTGAGCTACTCGGTCTATGGCCCAGGTGGCTGGGAAGCTTACATCATCGCCTCATTCTGCTACAGAACTCTGTCTTGCACTGGCCCAGCCTTACAGATGACACAGTAAATGGACCAGAGTAGCACACCCAACTGTAGTATATGTTAACTCCGAAATCCAGAAAGTCCCATGAAGCATTGCGCCTCTTTCTCCATGGCAGATGACGTAAGATGCAGCAGCTGGCCCCTCACTTTGGAGGACATTCCAACATATCTCACACCTCTGGACTCCTCAGAAGCTCACCAAATCGGCAGGTCCCTGAATTTTTGCCGATCTACATTGGTCTGGCATGCACATGTCATACCAAGGTATCTAGAGTGCTTTACAATTTCCATTCACCAAGAACAATCGGCATAATGCCATCAGTGTGATGGACCAGTATGATAAGATGGCTAAGGGCCTTCTAAACTATATCGATAGAGAACAGGCTAAATATAGACTTGAGATAAAATACTTAAAAGCGTACTTCTGAGTGTGCCACTTGAAGGCAAATTGTATCTGATTGTCTTTACTGAATATTTTTAAACATTCCTCTGGAAGAAATTTTATCCTCAACCTCCAGTAGCTACTCTTACTGTCTGTGGATGGGGCCCTCCAGCGGATCCTACCAATTCTCTCCCCATCCCAGACTAACCATTCACACCCATCCCCACCCACCAGTACACAGGGAGCTGCATTTGCCCAAGAGCTGTGGTTTCCCCCCTCCAGCCTGCTTCCCAGGGTTCTCAGGCTCACCTGGATGGAGCCAGGTAGGAGGTTGCAGGGTTTCTTGCTGGGACCTTTGATCTGTGCCCAGCACGTGTCTCCAGCGCTGCAGAAGTAAGAGCTGCTATCCTCGGGGCTCACATTGCTCACAGTCAGAGTTGAGAATGGCAGGTTTGGGCAGAGAATGGGAAACTTGTCCTTGGTAAGCCCACTCTCATAAGTGGCCTCAGAGCCCTGATTCACAGTTGCCATCAGCACCAAGCTCTGTCCTGGAAATTGACGGTACCAGTACATGAAGGTGAGCTGGCCATCGACCTATAACAGTGGATCATCACGGAGGTCCCGCATTCACAGGTGTCCCTGCTTGGCTTTTGAGACAGGAGAGCACCAAACACAGAGCCTAGTTCCAGAGAGATAGAAAAACTCATGAGGGCTGACAAGCTTGTCCCCAGGCAGGAAGGTCTTTTACTATTTGCTCCAATACCACCTTGGCCCCCAAACAACCCTGTAGCACTGCCTGCACTTTGGTTTTGTTCTGCCAACTGTTATTATGTCAGGATCCTCTAATCCAACATCTCCCCCATCCTCTGACTGGTGGCCTCGGACACCCTACTCCTCTCCCCAACATCCACATTTACTCCAAACTTCCCCCCAGTATAAGGCCATACCTAATCCCAGGAGAAGTGGCAGAAGAGTCAATATCTTTAGGTGATGGCCTCGCCTCTTCCCAGAGAAAAGGCACTAAGACATCAAATTCAAGTTCATCTTCTGTCACCACTGTGTAGCTCATCCCTGCTGGCTCTCTCTTCCCTTCTTGTCATAGGCAGTCGAGTTTCTGCAGAATATGGAGACTTGTCTGCCCCCTAGTGGAGATGTGTGGCTCTTCACTTAGTTTGGATCTTCATTCACAAGTCTCTCAGCCTGCAATTGCAGTCTATCCACCACGCGTCCACCACCTCCCCATCCATCACTACTGAGCACCACGTATGTGCTACTCCTTGGGTGTAAAGCAAGACTAGGTATGCAATATGGACCTTAGATAACTAAAGGTAAAATTTTAGAATATTAGGGAAACATAATTCAGAATATCGACTGTCTGCTGAGTCTTTATTTTGGTTGTCCCAAATTGAACTTATTCTTCCTTCCCTGATACATACTCCAGTAAACTGGCTCGTACTGCTGAATACATTCCTCTTAATAAGTGGTACATGTATATACATGGAATATTAGTCATAAAAAGGAACGAAATAGTGCCATTCGCAGAGACATGGATGGACCTAGAGACTGTCATACATATTGAAAAGTCAGAAAGAGAAAAACAAACATCGTATAATATCGCTTATATGTGGAATCTAGAAAAATGATACAGACGAACTTATTTGCAAAGCAGAAATAGAGACACAGATGTAGAGAACAAACATATGGACACCAAGGCGGGGAGGCGGGGTGGGATGAACTGGGAGACTGGGACTGACATACACACACTACTATGTATAAAATAGATAACTACTGAGAACCTACTGTATGGCACAGAGAACTCTACTCAATGTTCTGTGGTGACCTGAATGGGAAGGAAGTCCAAAAAAGAGGGGATATATTTATACATATAACTGATTTGCTTTGCTGCACAGCAGAAACTAACATAACATTGTAAAGCAACTATACTCCAATAAAAATTAGTTAAAAAATAAATGGTATCCCCACTCATCTTGTTGTCTAGGCTCAGAAATTCATCTTTTTTTTTAAATTTAAAATTTATTTTTGGCTGCATTGGGTCTTCGTTGCAGGGCACGCAGACTTTCTCTAGTTGTGGCGAGCGGGGGCTACTCTTCGTTGCGGTGCGCGGTCTTCTCATTGCAGTGGCTTCTCTTGTTGCGGAGCACGGGCTCTAGACACACGGGCTTCAGTAGTTGTGGCATGCGGGCTCAGTAGTTGTGGCTCGCGGGCTCTAGAGTGCAGGCTCAGTAGTTGTGGAGCGTGGGTTTAGTTGCTCCACGGCATGTGGGATCTTCCCGGACCAGGGCTCAAACCCGTGTCCCCTGCATTGGCAGGTGGATTCTTCACTACTGTGCCACCAGGGAAGTCCCCAGAAATTCATCTTTATTGCCTCTTTTCTTCTCAGGTCTCTCACAATTAATTCACAACTCAAATGCATTGCATCTCTATTTGTCTGTCGTATCTCCGCCTCATTTTGGTCATCAATGGTTATTTGTAATATGCTTTCTTCTATTCTAATTCAGCTCATTATGGACTATGAGACAGATCATCCCTCTGTAAAATTTGACAATAGTGCTATGGTCCTTTTTCATCATCCAGTTGATTTCCTCTGTCGTGTAACTTCCTGAAACAGTTTAACACTTGCATAAAAACTGAGCTAATGTTTTTGAGCACTTACTCTGTGCTTTATATGAGTTATTTCAGTCTGTGAATTAGGCGACTTAGGCATTTTTACAGATTAAGAAATTTTACAGATTAGACAAGAAGACTTTATATAACCTAAACAAGTTCATACAATCTGAGATTAAGTGACAGAGGCAGGACTCAAATCCATGTCTATGTGACACCAAAGCTCAAAAGCTAACAAGGGTACTATTAGGGATTGCCTCACGTTTGCCGTTGCTTGTGCTTTAGTAGAGCAGAAGCCGGTGGATGACTGAGAACCATAGGCCTAAATACCCTAAAGGAAGCGAGGAACCTCTAGAAAGAAATGTTTGCAAAACTAACTTATCTCTTTGATTCTGAGATGCCATCTATTAAAAGATGTACTGTTAAAAACATAATTGTTATTTTTAAGTGGTTGTTAATTCTATTGCATTAGCAATGAACATTGAATATAGGATTTGCCAATATTTTAGAAAAATAAAATTGTGAAAAACAATTTACCTTATAATAGAGGAAATGTGGTATATTAGGGATAACAATATTCCAGTAACCCTTTTCTATGGTGTGTGTGTATAGCCTCTACATCTATGGGAGATGCTAGAGACAGTGGTTCAAAATAAACCCTACACAGGAATAAAGACGCAGATGTAGAGAATGGACTTGAGGACACAGGGAGGGGAAAGGGTAAGCTGGGACAAAGTGAGAGAGTGGCATGGACATATATACACTACCAAATGTAAAATAGAGAGCTAGTGGGAAGCAGCTGCATAGCACAGGGAGATCAGCTCAGTGCTTTGTGTCCCCCTAGAGGGGTGGGATAGGGAGGGCGGGAGGGAGACGCAAGAGGGAGGGGATATGGGGATATATGCATACGTATAGCTGATTCACTTTGTTATACAGCAGAAACTAACACACCATTGTAAAGCAATTATACTCCAATAAAGATGTTAAAAAAAAACCCAAAAAACAAGCTAAACCTTACAAAGTAGTATCCTGGTAAAAAGTATAGAATAATCCAATTTTTCTTGACATGAAACATTAAGTACATTAAAATCTCTTGGTCAAATACACCAAACTTTCTTCCAAAATAAACCCAAATCTTTTTCTATTTTAGCAATCCTAAATTCTTCTGAAAATTGCCTAATTACTTACTGTGATGGCATAAGCAAGAGTCTAAAACCGAAGAAAGCACAGACTCCCTGTGCCATTTCCCTGATGTAATGGCATTCTGCTCAGGGTCCGGGGGTCAGCACAGACGTGGGCGGTCTTCTCACTGTTGAGAGAGCCCTGAACAAAAGCCTCCAGCAGGTTCTTGGACCCTGGGGTGTGGGAGAAGGGTGTGAAGGGGGCGCGAGGAGTGGAGAAGTACTGGGCGCTGAGTCAGAATGGGGAAGTGTCCCAGGGTTCCCCCACCTCCTCCCACGAGGAGGCCGTGGCAAAGGGGCCTGAGAAAGCCCTCTACCCAAAGCCCAAGGCCTCAGATAAAGAGACCTAGGAATGCAGTTTCAGGGCTAGGAACGCAAATGTTATGAAAAAATGACCAGCCCAGGGGTCTGAGTCCTTGAATGCAGCTCCCTTCAAAGACAGCAGTGCGCTGGCTGTGGACCTGCAGGTGTAGGTGTATGTTTAGCTTCATAACCAAAACTAAGCGAGGGGAGAGATGTTGGAAGAAGCAGGCGCACTGCGGATCAGCACAGTGGTGGAGAGGAACTGGGTCTGGGAATAGCGCTCTCTCTACCAGAGGCTCAGTTGGGGTGATGGCAGCTGTAATGGGGAAGGACCCAGGTAGCCCTGGAAACAGACTCACAGGCTCATACCTGTTCTGTTCTCTTGCAGTTGATTTTCTGAGTCTGGACAATGTTTGCTGCAAGAAGGATAGTAAATGCTTCATTCTTAAAAATAAACAGAGACTTTCTCCAGTTGATTGTGAGTAGGGATATAACCTAATTTTTTTTTGGTGGGGGGAGTTAAAAACAAAGGTTTATTTCTTGTTCATCTCCACCACGGGTTGTCTGGGGGCTCTGCCCTAGGTCTCCTCATTCAGGAACGTAGGCTGAAGCAGGAGTCACCATCTCAAGCACTCACTCGTCTCCCAAGCAGAACTGAAGATAGGTCTGGAGGCCTCACATTGGCTGTTAAAGTTTCTGGCCTGGCAGTGACACCTGTCACTTCTGCTTACTAATCCCTCACTGCAACAAGTCTCATGCCCCACCCCCTGCCCAACCTCCAGGAACCAGGAAGTACGATCCCATTGTGTGCCAGGGAGGTGGGCCCCAGAAATACTTGGTGAACAGCATTAATGATTATTAGAGTCACCCATACAATATACATCTCCTCAGTCTCCTTCCTAGGACGATGCTGATGACTTTGATTAGTTATCTCTCTCTCTCCCACACTGCCCATTAAGTTAGGCAAATCTGACCCTAGTTCCTGTTCCAGGAATAGACCTGGATGCACTTAAGTCAATCAAAATCATCTTAACCTGGTTGTAATTGGGTCAGGAAGGAACATGAGACATAATTCAGGTCAATGAGATGCTATGAGAGGTTGCAGGGCCTTTGGGGAAAGTTTTTCTCATTCTTCTAGGACAGCTTCTGGGAGTAACTCCCTTTTTCTCCCTGCATGTGAGGACGAAAGCAAGGAAGCCCCACTGCAACTTCAGATATAGCCTAATTCTTACCACCTCCTGCATCATACTTTATTCCTTCCCTGATCAGGATTTTTCAATAAAACATTACTGACCATTCAGAGAACCTAGAGAAAGATGGATTTTTATCAGAGTTTTCCTCTTTATAGATTGAATGAACAGAACTCAAATCCCACAAACTTTCTCTGGAATCAGCACATGGACAATAACATTTACCTCAACAAAGGGTTTAGAATGTGTGAGTGCCCTCAATCAAGAGCAAAGACGTAGAGATCAAACGTATAGATACCAAGGGGGAAGGGGCCTGGTGGGATGAATTGGGAGATTGGGATTGATATATATATACACTATTGATACTATGTATAAAATAGATAACTAATGAGAACCTACTGTAGAGCACAGAGAACTCTACTCAGTGCTCTGTGGTGACCTAAACGGGAAGGAAATCCAAAAAAGAGGGGATATATGTATACGTATAGCTGATTCACTTTGCTGTACAGTAGAAACTAACACAACATTGTAAATCATCTATGCTCCAATAAAAATTAATTTTAAAAAAAGAGCAAAGATGCTGAGCAGAGTAGCAAATGTATAGTAAGAGGGAAAAAGATGGAAAGGAAAGGAAAGGATAGGGGAGGAGAGGGGAGGGGAGGAGAGGAGAGGTTGATTTTAAAACGATAGGGCAGGGCTTCCCTGGTGGCACAGTGGTTGAGAGTCTGCCTGCCGATGCAGGGGACACGGGTTCGTGCCCCGGTCCGGGAAGATCCCACATGTCGCGGAGCGGCTGGGCCCGTGAGCCATGGCCGCTGAGCCTGCGCGTCCGGAGCCTGTGCTCCGCAACGGGAGAGGCCACAACAGTGAGAGGCCCGTGTACTGCAAAAAAAAAAAAAAGATAGGGCAGGGCTTCCTCAGCGTGATTCTGAGAGAGACCTCCTCCTCCTGGCTGGAGTCTCATGAATTTAGGTTGGAAACAACATGTAGGATTGGGCAGGTTCACTTCAGAATGGCCCCTGACTTGGAAAGGAGTGGTGAGTGAGGCTTAAAATATACCCCGTGCTGTCCTGGCCAAGACGTGTGGCTATGGGCTCAGTTCTTCCTAACTGTCCACCTTTCTTCTAATGGGCACACGTGCTGTAGGAGCAGCACAGCTCAGCCCTGACTTAGGGTCACCCCCTCTTGCATCTGCCCTTTTTGTGCACAGAGGGTGTGGTCGTGCCGTGGATTCACTGTGAGCGCAGAGGTACACAGACATCTGGCTGGCGCTGGCCGACTCCAGGGTCAGAGGGAAACCCTCCTTCTTTTTCCTGGAGACACTCGACCCATCGGGCACATCTCGTTTCTCAACACTGTCAACACTAAATGAGAAATGGAGCAGCTGCAGCCCCAGAACTGGGTCTTGTCGATACCAGAACATTCTCTCATGATCCATATTCTGTATACATTCTATCACCACTTTCTCTCCCATTCTTTTGACCAGCTAGCTTGGAGTCTGGGTTACTTTTGCATGCATGAGGCCTGTGAAAGAGGGATGGAGGAGGTGAAAAAAGAGGACACCAGGAAGCCTGATGAGGGGGAAATCTTATATCCAGGGTCTAGAAATAATAGGACAGGGGTTTGCCACCAACTCTCTGGACTCACCTACTCCCAGGAAGCAAATGGCACGGAGGAGCCTGATTCCCATGGCAGGTTCGAGGCAAGAATGGGTCCTCTCTCAGGCCCAGGCTATATAGGCAGATTGGCTATGACGTCACTGTCCCACCCACACTCATGATCCCTCAGCCACCCTCTAGATTCTAGAGAGTTTGGAGGTGCTAAAGTGAAAGCCAGCCCTTTTCTTCATGGGAGTGTTTGTGTGTGTGTGTGTGTGTCTGTTTGTGTAGAAAAAAGTTAACATAGTCTGTCTGATCTGTAGAAGGACCTGCTTACAAGGTAGGCCCTTGCTTTAATCTGGGAACTTGGATTTCGGGAGTGTTGCACCGTTTGGTAACTGGTGAGTGTGGTTCATTTCATCTAGAGTGCTTGCACAAACAATGTAGTTTATGCTGAACACTGCTTTGAGTCTGGAATTTGGTATGCGCCAGGCAGGCAGTGCCTATGCGATGAGCTGTTATTAGTTTGCTAGGGCTGCCGTAATCATGTCCCATAGAATGGGTGACTTAAACAACAGAAATTTATTTTCTCATTATCTAGAAGCTAGAAGTTCAAGGTGTTGGCAGGGTTAGTTTCTAATGAGGCCTCTCTCTTTGGATGAGAGACGTGACTGTCTTCTCCTCCTGTCTTCACATTGTCTTCCCTCTGTGCGTGTGTCTGTGTCCTAATTTTCTCTTCTTATAAGGACACCAGTCATATTGGGAAAGGGCCCATCCCAATGAGCTCATTTAACATGAATTATCGCTTTAAAGACCTTATCTCCAAATATAGTCACATTCTGAGGTACTGAGGGCTAGGACTTCATCATAGGAATTTTCAGGAGACACAATTCAGTCTATAATACCAGCCTCCTAAAATATCTGGGATGCTGAGTCTCTAACAGGCTTCTCTGGGCAGAAACATTGCACACAGGTTGCTGTATTTTCATTGCTGGGATGAAAGTGTGCAGCTTCCTGGGATGCAGAGGGCATATGGATGTCTCACATGGATTCCTCCGAACTCTGCCTGTGTCTTCTTTTTCTTTTTTTCTTTAAATTAATTAATTAATTTTTGGCTGCCTTGGGTCTTCATTGCTGTGCGCGGGCTTTCTCTAGTTGTGGCGAGCGGGGTCTACTCTTCTTTGTGGTGCGCAGGCTTCTCATTGTGGCGGCTTCATCTTGTTGTGGAGCATGGGCTCTAGGCGCGTGGGCTCAGTAGTTGTGGTGCACAGGCTTAGTCGCTCTGTGGCATGTGGGATCTTCCTAGACCAGGGCTCGAACCCATGTCCCCTGCATTGCCAGGCGGATTCTTAACCACTGCGCCACCAGGGAAGTCCCGCCTGTGTCTTCTTCCTCTTATGCTCTAGCTGAGTATCCTTACAAGGTCTGTGTAATAATCTTAGCCATGAGCACAACCATATGCTGAGTCCCATGTGTCCTCTTGTGAGTCTCTGAAGGTGAATCTCCAAAGTGGGGATTTTTTTTTTTCCTGATTAGGAATACTTTACTGTTTCTCTCTCTCAACATATATTTCCTTCACAGCACGTTTAGTTCTTCATACAATATTATTTAATAACAGTAATTATTATAAGGAGTATATTGGTTTCAAATTTTGGACCTAGACTGCCTGGGTTTCAAACCTGGTTCTTTGACTTATTTGTAGCCTGCAGGCAAATTCTGGGCCTCAGCATCCTTATATGTAAAATGGGACTAATAAAAATACCAACCTCCCAGGGTTACAGTAAGAAAGCAACAAGTTGATACATAGAAATTGGTTATAACCATGCATGTCTCAATAAATGTAGCCATTAAAAGCATTGACTGTTATCCCTACTACCATTATCTGCTGAAAACTAATTTTGTCTCAGACACTACATTAAAATTCTTCACTGATAAAGGATTTCTTTTACTCAGCAGCCTTATGTAAATCTTTGTTTAGATTGACATTCCAAAATATTTCTGCAGGAATTGTTTTCAATGAAATCTAATCTATAAAACTAAAACTACACTTAATATTCCTTCTTTAGCCTCCATGGATATTAAACTTTCATTCATTACCAAATATCCTACATCATCTCTATTGTTTTTTTCTCTAAGCTGCATGATATTTTTGTAACAGTCACCTTACACAAATGCATCAGGCTCTGCTTACCTGCTAGGAAGGAAAAGCTACAAACTCCAGGGAAATTCTAACACTAACCATCAATTTCTTTCCCCTGAATTCCTGATGAAATCTCTTAACCAGAAGTGGTCAGAAGAAGTATGTCTGACTTTGTGTTCTGATTCAAGTTCTATCTTCCTGTTAACGCTGCTCTTTGCTTTTGAAATGATTGGTTTTAGCAT